AAAATAGCCTGAATAGAAACAGAAAGTTGCAGTGAGACATTATCTGGTTAGAATCAATCAAAGGTGTTTCAGAAAATGCAAGATAAATTCAGACTTGAAAGATGCTAAGACAGTAATTTAGATAGATAATTTACACATTGATGTAAATTACTTTTTTACATCAGGGTTAAAATATTTCCATGATACTCCGAATAGGGTTTATCCAGAAAATCAAAAAATCACTGGCCTAACTCAATCTCCTATACATACCAACTTTACAAGAACCAATAATAAGGGATACAAAATTTGGGTCTTGGACTCTCCAAAACATATTTGTGATGACAGAAAAAAAAATATTCTGGTGACAAATAACTCATTCTTTCCTTTCCAATATTTCGGAATACACGAGATCGTTTCTTTTTTAGCCACACGTGAATTTTCAGCTTGTTTCTAGGAAAATGAAACCAGGAGACCAATGATGCTCAAAAGAACCAAAAGGAAATTATGAGTAAGAAAAACTGAAACCTTTTTGTATTACTAACAGTCACATTATCAATCTTGTTCAGTATCATGCAATTCTGTGTCTTTTCCTCCTTGAAAGAAAAACCCTTTGCTGAACGTTTATTTCATTTCAGAATTTCCATTTTACACTCAAATACTTGTTAACTGTGTATTTTACCAGCAATCAAATGTGTTTACTGATTTGCATTGCATAAATGCTAAACAGATATGTTTAGTTTAAAAATTGTAAGCTCTATAACCAAAACAACTCCTAACAGAGAGTTTCAGGCAAAAAGGTCTGTTGTACAAGCTAGGGGGAAAAAATGAAATCCTGGTTACTGCAGACAAGAATGAGTTAGTCAGCCTGATTCTGGGCAAGTCTTTCCTAATCGTGATGAATTGTCACATTTAAGCTGATGCAAAACAATTATTTGATATTACAGAGAATGAACTCAAACACCCCACTCTAATCCATATTAGAAGGAAAATAACTTGTCTGTAGGGTGGGGTGTTGCATCTTCAGATCAGCCTTAATTCCCGACTTCTAAGAATGCTTTTTTGGCAAAATTTTCAAAAGTTGCTTGCTCACGCCTTCTTCTTTTTAGGGCTGAGAGAGATTGGCCTAAAGTCATCCAGTTGACTTCCATGCCTGAGACAGAACTAGAACTCATCCTCTCCTGGTTTCTACTCCAGAACACCACTACCTCAATCTGTTTTTTCCTGAGATTGTTTCTTATGGGTGGGGGAATTGCTGAAGTTTGTCCTACTGGATGCTCACTGGGAATAACCCATCTGATAAAATTTCAGCGGGACAGTGTAGAGCAGCGGTATCAAACTGGCTGCCCACCGGCCAGATGCGTCACATGCAGGCCACGCCCACCCCAGCTCCGCGAAGGGGAAAAACATCTCAAAATGTCATGTGACGGCAATGTGACAATTGAGTTTGACACCAGTGGTGTAAAGCAGGGGTGTCAAACTCAAGGCCCGGGGCCCAGATCTGGTCTGTGGGGCCACCCTGGAAACAGTGAAGGACCGACCCACAGTGCTTCTGCCAGCAAAAACAAACCTCCATTTTCACTGGCAGAGGGTTGTAGGAAGCCGTGGCAGCCGAAAACGGAGCTAGGGACCCCATTTTCACTGGCAGAGTGGTCGGACCACCACAGATGCCCCTGACACAAGTGACGTTGAGCTGGCCACGCCCACCCTAGCCACGCCCACCCCCAAGGTCAAACCAGGGGTGAAATGCTCCCGGTTTTGACTGGATCGGGTAATCTGGTAGCAATTGTGGCAGGTGGTTCGGGGAACCGGTAGCGATGGCGGTGCGAGGCTCCGCCCACCCGCCCGGGTGTCGTTACTTCCTGGCTTTAACCAGGAAGTAGTTTTTTACCCTCTGTGCATGTGCAGGTTTTGCGCATGCGCAGAGGGTCTGCGCACATGTCACACGTGCATGAAGCGAATGCACTTCTGAACCGGTAAGGAAGGTAAGTAGATTTATTTATTTATTAGTTCAATTTATATGCCGCCCTTCTCTGGAGACTCAGGGCGGCTTACAATGCGTTAAGCAATAGCCTTCATACTTTTGTATATACCTTAGTAGAGCTTTCACGCACCCCCTCCCCCAAGCGGTGTTCTTTTTTATACAAAGTCAGCTTATTGCCCCCACAGTCTGGGTCCTCATTTTACCTACCTCGAAAGGATGGAAGGCTGAAAAAGAGTGACTTATGGTCCTTTTTCCCACTTCTGACCATTGCAGCATCCCCATGACAACATGATCAAAATTCAGATGGTTGGCAACTGGTTCATATTTATCACAACTGTAGTGTCCTGGGGTCATGTGATCACCTTTTGCAATCTTCTGACAAGCAAAGTTCATGGGAAGCCAGATTCACTTCATAACCATGTTATTAATTTAACTACTGTATCATGGTTAAGAAAGGTCATAAAATGGGGCAAAACTCATTCAACTAGTTCGTGTCGCAGAAATTTTGCGCTCAATTGTGGTCGTAGGTCTGAATCTTTGCTAGAAAAACCAACTTACCGTATTTTGCACTGGATAAGATGCACTGGACTATAAAACGCACCTACCTTTTTTGGTGAGGAAAAGAAGAAAAAGAAATCTCCCTCTGCCTCTGCGCAATTTTGCCTGGTTGCAGCAAACAGCAAACAGCCTGTTTTACTTTCATTTTCATTTTCAGCATAGCTTGATTAGCACAAGGGGAAAAAAAATCTGCTCCAGCAATTTTCTACCTTGCACCAAGCAACAGAGGCCTGCACAAAACAGATGAGAGGCCGATCCAATCAACTTGTGCTAATTAGGCTGTGCTGAAGCTGAAAGGAGCTGTTTTTTCTTGCTGTTTGCTGCAAGGAGGTAACTGCTGGGAGGCAGAGGCCAAAGGGTGAGGGCCAGTGGGTGGGCGGGGCCACATTCGGTGTATAAGACCCACCTACATTTTCATCCCCTTTTAGGGGGGAAAAAAGTGTGTCTTATACTCCGAAAAATACGGTATGTGATGAATCAGGTAGTGAATCAAGAACTTTGGATTCCCTACACCCATCAACTATGGAAATGTATTTTTAGTAGATAACATTTTCTTCAATCAAACTATGAGGTCTTCTTGACAAAAATATCAGAGTGGTTTCCCACTGCCTTCTTCCTGAATTTATCAGGCAGGCTTGGATTTCCTAGTGGAGTCCATCCAAGCATGCTTAGTTTTTCAAGCTCAGATAAATACTGCCACTTTCCTGGCCATTACGCTGATTAATATAATACATATTTTGCCTTTCAAACGCACAAGCCCAACAGTTCAGTTTTTCTTCTTCTCAACTGTATGGTTTTGACTCTGAATGTCGAAAGGCCGGAATGGAAGGAATTAGCCAGTTTAAGGATTACTCTACCTTCTTCCTCTTATAACTACTCACAGTACCTTCAGGATTTGGAAACACAGCGTAACTGCATTCACACAACACATTTAAACAGGTTACTAAATGAACCCATTTTCTAGATGTAGACACTGGTACGAATTAAAGTATGAAATGACTCAATGGGATCGCTTCTCACACTACCCTTATCTGATTCCTACAGTAGATTTAACTTAGTCAGCAATGCAGCAGCAGTGGTATAAACTGCCAAATTTGCTTAGCTCTGATGTCCGTTTGTTTTGGCGGTTCTATGCTGTGCTGTGCAAACCCAGCCTGATTTACTTGATGGTTCAAGGTCTTGTGCAAATTCTAGGAAACGGGTTCCTTCGGGGTTAAACATGTTGTGTGAAGTCCCAAAGGTGCTTTTTCAAGAGGCAACTGGGCTTTCTGGTTTTTCCTGGAAGACGTTTCGCTTCTCAATCCAAGAAGCTTCTTCAGCTCTGACTGGAAGTCAGAGCTGAAGAAGCTTCTTGGATTGAGAAGCGAAACGTCTTCCAGGAAAAACCAGAAAGCCCAGTTGCCTCTTGGAAAAAAACGCCTTTGGGACAACCAGGACCTGGATGACTGAGAATCTCCATAGACATGTTGTGCAAAGAGTTTGAATTCACCTAAATGCAGCGAGCACGATCTGATGAACAAGGCGATGTGAAGCATTCCTCCGTTCCAAAAGTGCTTCCCCCACCACCCCCAAAAGTCAATTGAACTTTTCTTAGTGTTTTTTTTTCTTTGAAAAAGTTTCGCTTCTCATCCAAGAAACTTTTTTCAATTGCCTTTTGGAAAAAGTACCTTCGGGATAACCACGACCCTGGATGATTTGAGACTTTCCATAGATCTTTCTTCCTTCTTTCCTTTTTTTTTTCTTTCCTTTCCTTCCCTTCTTTCCTTTCCTTTCCTTTCCCTTCCTTTCTTTCTTCTCATCCAAGAAACTTTTTCAGTTGCCTTTTGGAAAAAGTACCTTTGGGATAACCACGACCCCTGGATGATTTGAGACTTTCCACAGATCTTTCTTTCTTTCTTCTTTTTTTTCTTCTCATCCAAGAAATTTTTTCAGTTGCCTTTTGGAAAAAGTACCTTTGGGATAACCACGACCCTGGATGATTTGAGACTTTCTACTTTCTTTTTTCTTTCTTTTTCTGCTTTCTTTCTTTCTTTCTCTTTCTTTCTTTCTTTCTTTCTTTCTTTCTTCTCTTTCTTTCTTTCTTTCTTTCTTTCTTTCTTTCTTTTTCTTTCTTTCTTTCTTCTTTCTTTTCTTTCTTTCTTTCTTTCTTTTTTCTTTTTTTTTTTCTCTTATTTTAGAAGAATTTTTTTCAGTTGCCTTTTGGAAAAAGTACCTTTGGGATAACCACGACCCGGATGATTTGAGACTTTCTACAGATCTTTCTTTCTTTCTTTCTTTCTTTCTTTCTTTCTTTCTTTCTTTCTTTCTTTCTTTCTTTCTTTCTTTCTTTCTTTCTCTTCCTTCCGTCCCCTCCCCCCCTCCCCTCCTATCCTTCCTTTCCTCCCCTCCCCTTCCTTCCTATCCTGGGATCTTTTCCCAACTTCCCATAGACTTTCCAAAACTGCCAAGCAGGCGCCGCCGAGCGAGAGAAAGAAAGGAAAAGGAGGAGGAGCAAAGCGGGCTTTGAAAGGCGAAGTCCGGACGCGGCTCCACCTTAACCACCCCAATCCGAGCCCGCCAGGCCTCCCTCTCTCCACACAGGGACGGAGTCTCCCCTCGACTGTCCGCTCTTTCTTTCACTCGTGCGAAACCCACCCACCCCCCCCCCCCCAATATTTTTTTTTTTGGTTGTTGTTGTCCGCCAGCGACCACCATGGTGGCATCCGGCGGTCCCAGCACGGGCCAGACCTGCGGGCTCGTCCTGATTTTCGCCGTCCTCTTGCAATCCATCTGCGTGGCGATCACTTTCCTTTATTTCACCAACGAGCTGCAACAGGTCGGTGCGACGTTCATGGGTCCGTCTGGCGGGGGAGTGGGGGGGAGAGGAGAGAGGGGAAGGCTTTACTGCTTGCAAAACAGGTTTCTTCAGCCCCCCCCTTACGCTTAATATAAATACATTACTACTTAATACCTGAATAGGTTAGTAGTATATTAATTGAAGCGTAATCATGCATTTTTACGCTTGCAAGAGGGGTCCCTTAGGATGCATGTCCTTTTGCAACTCGCATCGGATTTGCTGCAAAACGCACGACCCGATCTCTTTTTTTTTTTCCCTCCCCTTTGCAATTTAGGTCCCTGGCCAACCTACTCCAACAAAGCCCACGTTGCAAAGGATCGCTCGCTCAATGCACCGCGAATACTTTTCGATACTCTTCAATACTGAGAAAATACTTTTCTCAGCTGCTATTTCGTATCCCCAGATCTGCAGCTTTTTGGCTCTTCTCTCGAATCGGGCCTATTCGCCCCACCGATTAGTCGCTTTCCTTCCTGCCCCGATGCTTTGTTTTAGCCAAGTACAGAAGTTTGCTTCGCGGCCGACCGAATCCGCCAGTCTTCCCTTTCTTTCTTTCTTTCTTTCTTTATCCACAAACTATATAAACTTATTACTCTAGACTAGAGTAATAAACCCATAAAGCCCAGCACGAGGATTAAATTGGCAAGAAACGCTCGTGGCTGCAGTGGAAGTAGGCGGAAATCCTTTATACGTTGCTGGGTTTTTTTGTTTTTTTTTTTTGTAGGGGAAGGGAAGACAAGTCAATGGGCGGTATAGAAATAAAATAATAATAATAATAATAATAATAATAATAATAATAATAATAATAATGGCGGGAGATGGTCTTCAGTTTTAGCGGGATTGAACTAACCAAGGTTTTGCTGTTACTGTACTTATTTGCAAAGAAACGGTGCAGCGCCTGCAAGTCCTATGCTCCAAACAAATGCACAGCGCCTGCTGCCTCCTGTCCTGTGTTTCACCTAAACGTGCATTAAAGAATACGACTCAGAACTAACCATGTTTAAAAAAAAGAACAGGCAGCCATTTCTTTCCCCTCACGCCTCACCCGAGAGGGTTAAAAACTTCACAAAAGGCTGCAAAACGATCGGCCTTTGTTTACCTCAGTTTTAAAAGTGGGCTCCCTTTGTCTTGAGAGCCTTCCTGGGTTTTTGTGCCATACATACATACATACATTGGCTTCTGGTGTGAGATTTGAACTCTTTACAGAACCACGAAGTTCGTGTTGGGCTGGGTTGGTATAATGCAGAGTTTCCTAAACTTGGCAACCCCCAACTCCCAGAATTCCCCAGCCAAGCGTGTTGGGAAAGTTTGAGAAACAAGTTTGAAAAACCGCTGGTATGGTGCCTACTCAGCACTTAAGGGAGCACAATCTCTGTGGGCTTGGTTTGTTTTCTTAGTGGGTTTTCTTTTCAAAAAACAAACAAACGCTGGGAGAATGGTATCTACCCATTGGGCATTCCAGCGAGATAAGATTTCTATTTCTGCACCAAAAGGCAGTATACAGTAATTTCTTGGTACCAACCGGTCCTAACTGAACTTCCCTGAAGCAGTTCCAGTCTCATCTTGCAACATTCAGCTTGTATGTTTAAAAGTTGTTGTTTTGCACAGGTCTGGCTGCTAAATTACTTTGCCAAAGTTCTGGATTTTCTATATATGTATATATATATTTATTTATTTATTTTACTGCATGGAAAAGTTTAAAAGAAAAATAATGGTTAAAAATGCTGTTTAACTCCTGTAGGACTGTTTCCAGAGGAATAGTACAGATGAAACTAAATCAGCCCTTCCACAAGCCCATTCTGTTGCTTAGGCAAGGGGAAGAGGGGGCTAAGCTTGCATTTGGCTTCTTCCTTTCACACATTTCCACAATTCAGACACATTTCCTGCAACCAGCTGATCAGGAAGAGCAAGGGAGTTGCCCATCCTGCCTACTTCCATGCTTTTCTCAGTTTCTAAACCATTGGCTGGATTCACACATTGCTTTTGTTTTACTGGATCCTGGCTTGTTGAAGAAGGCAGGAGATCCTGTGGTACTCTGGATGCTCAAGTATAAAGGGCATTTTGCAGACCCCCGCCCCAGTGGGTGGAATCGCCTATCAGTGCTGAAATAAAAAAATAGTAGGATCTCTTTATCTCAGCCCACTGAGGAGCAAATGGGGAGGGGGGGATGCAGTTTGAGGCCCCAGCCCCTCCCATTTCCTTGGTATTTAGGGGCCATTGCAGTCACAAATACTGAAGAATTGGGAGCAGGAAATAACACTTTTGTCCTGCTAAAAACCAGTTTTACATAATGCCTTTTAAAAAGAACAAAGCCCACTCAGCTCTTCCAAGCCCAGGTAAAACTAGCACATTAATCACCCAATGTTGCCCAAGGTGCATCTCCATTATTCCACCACGAACATTTAGTAGAGCACAACTACCTACCTACCTTCCTACTTAACCTGAGTCACTGAGCAGATTAAATAAAATTGCCCTATATATTTGGCTCCAAAACATTGGGAAGAAATTCAAGGTATTGTGTGAATACCTGTTACCTTGGTGGCCAACACAAGAATGATGCATTTCTTGTTTGGAGAAAACTAGTAGTCTTTATGAACAAAAGGTGTATACACCTTATTCCTCCAGGGGTCAAAACAGGTATTCCTTGTTTTTGCCTTATGTACTCTTTTCAACACTGGACTACCGCCTATAACCTTTGGTCAGCAAAGGTTATTGTAAAATGTCCCAGATTAGCCTTTGCTATCTAATCACTGGAAGGTTGTTATTTTGCTGAAGCAAAATGCTCTGAAGTGGACTATGTTCCATGGCCAGGTTCCTTTTCTGATTTGAAAGATTCTTTTGGGACTTTGCCAGAGGCAGAGAGGTTGGGTGAAAACCCAGCACCTTTACTCATGCTTAACTGAACCAGAGGTTAGTGAAATAAGCCAATATTCAGGATTTTCACTAGGTCAGAGGCTAACCAATGCAGCCTGTACTTGCCCAACACTGGAGGCTAAAATGTGCTTAATTACGTTTGCTTGCAGTTAACTTCAGTGGAATCTGATGAGAAATATACTATGCTGCAACATGCAGTGTCTTGCAGCACAAATATTGTTGATGCAGCTTTTGTGCTTGGTAATAGAAATTGATCTGGTGCATTCCAGGATGTGTTTAACAACATAAGCTCAAGTTACTTATTGTTCGTTTGCATGAATTGATGTAAAGTAATTAAAACCTAGTTATACGGGAGAGCTGTAAAACTAGATATGGCTGGGGAGGAACAAGAAGATTGAAGAGGGGGAAAAAAAGGATTATTTATCCTACCACGGTTACTTCAATCAAGTTTGTGGTCTCTCTCCATAGTTCTCTCTATGAACTCTATGAAATACAGGTAAACACCTCCCTTTGTTTGATTGATGTGGAATTAAAAAAAACAGGACCCAAAGCAAATAACCCAGGCTCACTTCGATGTTTATTGTTCAGTACATACTGTTAGGGTTTGCCTTCTCTCATAGTAACACACACACACAGATCTAGAAAAAGACAAGCACTGATATTTATATGTTTCAAAAAAGGAGGAGAAAATGACGCAGGCGGGCATTTACATGATAGATGAGCCTTGATTATTTGCTTTGGGTCCTGCATTCCACATCAGCCAAATAAAGGGGTGTGTTCTCATTTAAGAAGCTGTCTAAAAGCCCACTTCTGCTTATCTTCACACATTTCCCAGCGAAAACAAGTTTGTTGAACTGAAGCCATTATTGTCTGAACATAATTTAACATAATCTAACATAATCTGTCACTGCATCGGAGGCATCCTTGGAATTATTGGAGCTTGAGTTGTAATTTTTCTTCAAAAGATAAAATTTTCAGTCTGTAATGTTTTGTAAAGAGAACGGTTTTAAAGTGCATCCAGTAGTAAAATGAGACTTTCCTTCATAGTACTCTGTTTCAAACAATCAGTAGATTCAATTGCTTAACGCACTGTAAGCCGCCCTGAGTCTCCGGAGAAGGGCGGCATATAAATCAAATTAAAAAAAAAAAAAAATTGAACAGAACAGGAAGGGACCTTGGAGGTCTTCTAGCCCAACCCCTGGTCAATGCCCCCCCCCCCCCGTTTCATTTAGCACTTGGCTTTTGAAACCTAGGAGGATGGGATGGGAAGTTAAAACTTCCTGTGATTGTTCTGTTTTTAACTATTTTCACTACTCACACAGAGAGGATTAGAAAATAGGGTATTTTAAATTAAATATGAAATAATGGAAATCTATTTCGGTGTTTCTAAAAAATTCTTCAGACAGGCCAGTTCTATTATTTGTGTTCCTCCAGATGTTAGACTGCAATTTTCATAACCTCTCCCTGTGGCCACAATGGGAGGTGGAATTTAACTGAATTGTTGCCGTTCCTGAGTGGTGGAAGATAAAATTCAGTTTGTCCTGAAGCCTGCATTTAGTTGGACTACCCCTTCATCATGCAGTTGCCTCTCCTGATCTCCCCATTTTTCTTTCTTGACATCTGTTTCCCGAAATAACAATTGCTGAATTATCTAGGCAGAAGCTAAACCCAGCTAAATCACATTTGCAAGGCTTCATGCTGTGTGACTAACTTCTAATACTTCCCAAAATGCAGTTTCTGGGGAACTTTGTGGGTACCGGAGTACAATTATATAAACCCAGCATTTCTTACGAGAGAAGAAAAAATGTACAAGGAGGAAGTATTATATATAGTAGTATTTAACTACTATATAGGAATTATATATAACTAGAAGTTGTGGTGGCGCAGTGGTTAGAATGCAGTACTACAGGCTACTTCTGCCGGCGGTTTGGCAGTTCGAGTCTCACTGGCTCAAGCTTGACTGAGCCTTCCATCCTTCTGAGGTCGATAAAATGAGGACCCAGTTTGTTGAGGGAAATATGCTGACTCTGTAAACCGCTTAGAGAGGGCTGTAAAGCACTGTGAATTCTAGACTTAGAATAAGTCTAAGTACTATTGCTATTATTATT